TAAAACATCTTCTAATGTTTTGAAATCATTGTCAACTGTGTGATGGTGAAATCTCCATCAGGTAGAGAATACGATGTCAAATGATCTATTGGGTAGAGAAGATGATGTCAAATTGTCTATCAGTGAACCGTCTGAACTGTTCGTGAAATCGTCTTCTGTGTTGGGTAGAGAAGATGATGTCAAATGGGTTATTGGGTCAAGTTAACTTGCTACCCAACTATTACTAATTTATAATGATCGTCTTCTCTTATGTGGCATGTTTAACTAAAATTAATTAATATTTTGTGTTGGTCTAACGGATAAGATTACATTGTTTGCAACGCGCTATAAAGTTTCGTGTATAAGCATTGTGCTATACATGTTATTAGTTTGTAATAATTACTGAAATTTTAGTGTTAACTTTTAATGAATAATTATTGGAATTTCATTTATTCGGTAACTTTTAGTGAATAAATTGCAATAATTAAGATTAATGGCTAAATATATTCCGATAAATTCAATAATAACTAAAATGAAAGAAAATATTAGTTAATATTTTCAACTATTTACTTTAACATTTTTTAGCTATTTTAAGTATTTTTTTTTGTTATTTATGATAATTATAAAATTCATTTATTGTTATTTAGTTATTAATTTGAATAAATTATTAATAGAAAAGTAAAAATGACCAAAAACCATTGTCCAAGTCAAATGGGTTGACATACGGTTCGATCGTCTGGGTCAGTGGGTCGTTGACCAAGTTAACGGTTTTTGGCCAAGATACAGATTAAGGATGAAACGGAATTGGTTGCCTCAACGGTTTTCAGGCCAAATGGTCCGACCATCCAGTTCCAACGGATTCGCCGTCCTAACTTAAAAAATTTAAAAATAATTAAAATAAAAAATGAACAAAAACCATTGTTTAGGTTGAATGGGTTGACGGTTCGACCATTAGAATCAATAGGTCACTTACCAAGTCAACGGTTTTGGTCAAGATATGGGTTAAGGGTGGAACGAAATTGGTTGCTTTGACGATTTTTGGGTTGAACAGTTCGACAGTCAAGTTTGAGTGGACAACCTGTTCTAATTTAAAAAATTAAAAATAAAAAAAAAATTAAAATGAAAACAAATGACCAAAAATTGTTGTATGGGTCAAACAGGCAAGGTTCGACCATTAGCGAGTTGTTGACCAAGTCAACAGTTTTTTGGTCAATATATGGATTAAGGGTGAAACGGAACTAGTTGCCTTGATCGTTTTTCGACAGGTCCGACAATTTGGGTCAACGATGGTTAGAAAAAAGATAGTTATCAATATATGAATGGTTATCCACTTTAAACAATTAATTTAATATAAAGCCTGGATCAAAGGTCCATTGACCAAAATTCAACTATATTTTGCAAAACAATGGACTAAGTGATAATTAAACAAAAAATGTGACCAATTTTCCATTGAAAGTGCTAAGCTTGGGGGGGGGGGGGTTTGTAATTGTTGGGTGGGGGAGAAAGGGAAAATTTACATGGAAGGGGGTAATATATGTAGGGATTAGGGTTCCCCAGAGTCGCATTGGCTCTAGCTGTGATCATTGGAGTTGCTTTACCCCTTGCTAATGTTAGAGCTTTTTTCCTACTTGTACCCTCCCACCCCCACCCACCCAAGAAAAAAAATGAATGGATTTGATTTAGGGGGAATGACCAATCAACCCAGATCAAGATTTTATAGCCCCAAAGTACATGAGGAATGCATCCTGACCGCAAATTAATGCCAAATTCACGGGCAGAATGTGGTTTATAGGGGGGGAGAAGACTAATAGTAGAGGGGCTGAAATTCAAAATTCCGCATTGGATGTATCTATACTTCTCCGTTTGATTTGTGCCATAAATCCCCTTCTACCTTAAATATACTTGATAAAACCCCTGCACCACACGAGTGCCGACTAGTTATATTCTAATGTATAATATGGGATAGTTCCCTTGGGTTCATGTTAATGGCCAAAATAACAGATCTTGATGTGTGTTTGATCAATATGATCAAAAGTTGTTGATAAAATCTTAAGATTTTTTTTTTGTTTGGCTTCATCAAAGCACTGCCCATTGACTTTTGCTTCCATGCATTTATAAAAGGAAAATATTGGATCTTAAATTTATTCTGCTGATTTCTTCCTTTTCATCCGGGATACAATGAAGACAGAATCCGTATTTAAATTATAACTCAGCATTTGGTTTGGACCATTTAACCACATTGTTTTTATCTGTACAATAGGCATCGTTAGTTACAAAATAACTTTATATTTGTACCAGTTTGTTATCTTCCCACCTACCGTCAATATTGAAAATATCTAATATGATACGGCCATATTTCAAGGGATTGACTCATTGACGCGACTATGGTGGAAATTTAGAATATTTGAGCAATTCCATTTATAGATGAGTATTGATTGAGATAGAGAAATATTCATTAGGTATGGGCATAACATTGAAATAATTAACAAATAAAAAATAATGAACCAATTAAAGGGATGATTATCAATGTATATGGTTTGGTTTTCTAAAACATTGTCTTAGTTTGGCATAAGTATAAATATAAATATGTAGAGTGTAAAACTTTGTATTTTGCATTATTTTGTATGCATTTGTAAGAATATAAATACAAATATGTAGAGTGCAAAACCCTGTATTTGGATGTAAGTTTTGATTTATTTTTGTTTCAAAATTTACTTTATTTTGTTCGGTTGCTTTAAAAATGAAGTAAATTAAGACCCAAAGCAGAATAAAGTAAAATTCAAAACAAAATTAAATCAAATTTTACATTTTTTTTTTCATTCGCACTCTCATATATTTATACTGGTGCAAATAAATTTGTACTGCAACCAAACACAGCCTAAATAACAAATACATCAGCAAAATGTATTGTTTTTGTTGACATGACAATTATTTTTTGTTTTAAAAAATGAAGCCATTGGCAATTTTTTTTTGCTTCAAAAAACCACTTACATTGTTGAACACCCCATAAGTAGTAGTAGTGAGATTTTTATTGTTTATCGGAAAAAAGAATGTTTTACCATTTGTAATGTTTTTCGGAGTGTATTTGATGGCTTCCTTTGATGCAATTTTGTGGCATTTATATGAATTTCCCTATATATCAATCCCAATTATTCCACTGTATAAATGCATTTTGTAAGTGCATTGTATCTTAAACTACCTTTCAAATACTCTTAGCAAAACTAATACTTTGAGCTTTACCTGTGGTTGTGCAAATGAGTGGAAGTTATTAGAAACAAAGCTTATAACTAATAGGCCTAGGATCAGTTTTTTTTCCTCAGATTTTGTTATCAGAAACAAAGCTTTCTTCACAATATTTTTCACCTCATTTTTGCTCCAGCTTCTCTAACTATCAAAACATACAATGTCCTGAGTGTTTATTACATGGATTTTGAACTGCTGTTGATTTGGATGGTCAGACCGTTTGGCGCAGGAACTATTCAGGCAATCGATTCTATTTTATTCTTAACCCAATCCTTGGCAAAAAACCGTTGAATTGGTCAATGATCCGATTCAGATGGTCAAATTGTCGATCCATTCAATATTTTTTGGCCATTTTTTAATTTTTAATTTTTTATTGTCAGAACAGACTATACCTAAAAACCAATGGACAGAATAATTCCGTTTTCAGATCGTTTTCTAAAATTATGATGATTTATTATGCATTTAACCATTGCATGATGCAATACAGGCTTTTGAAGGATGTATGCGTGAATAATTTTGCAAAAGCACAACCACGTAAGGTCATGGTCCGTTCCGAAATTTTCAATGCTTCTGTTACTGATTCAGCTGCTCTCGCCTGGACTTCTCCTGTTGAGTAAAGATAGCTTCCTGATAGTTCATTATGACTATTATCTTTCTCTTCTCAATTCCCATTATGTATCACCAGTTGAGTAGCACGCTGCAAAATGCACATAAAAAGCGAGAGTGGAAGAGGAGATGAATAGAACGTGAGGGGAGGAAAATAGAGAGTCAGAAAAAATAAATGGATTAAATTTTTGTATGATCTGGACGTGAAGCCGAGGCAAATTGGCATTGCGGTAAAGCAAGAAAAAACCTAACAAGTATTTTAAGACTCAGCCTGGACCAGATGGTCAGATCATAAAAATTAAGAGCTAATAACCGTTTTCAGTCCCGGTTAATGATGGATCTGGTAGTTTATTACGGACTAAATAGGCAAATCACTAATTAACCGGTAAAATTAGGACCTATTAGACATTTTGGTTTTCTTGAAACTTTAATCCAATTATCCAAACAACTAATTGTCACAATAAAAGCGATTACTGGGCCTACATCATTCCTTCTTAAGATGCAAGCTACGTTGGAAAATCTCAAAAATGCACACATGTTGGATAGATTAGCTGGCAACCAAACGCGATGCCAAAACGGCATCGATTGGTCAATAAACTTTCTTTTTATGGTAACGGTAATGATCATGTGGGAGCGGTCACGCTCGGTAAACCGACTGAGAGCCTCCTCCGACTCCGTTCTTTTCACTGCTCAATTGTCATTGGCCCGAAATGTGAGAAGAGAAACTTCTCAAAATTTCGGGTGAATGATTACACGGTTTGGATTTTGGAAATTGGAAATTTGGAACACCGTCACGCACCACCAATTTTTCAGCGCGATCTATCCCGCTGAACAATCATCACCTTTTTCGGTATTTTACTATTTATATATATATTAATAAAAATTATTATATTTTTAAGAAATTATAGAAAATATTATAACTCTTATTTTTCGAAGTAGAGAGGGAGCCTGGGAGGGCAGTCGGTTCTGCGTTTTGGTGCTCGCGCTGAGGTCTGCACTCTGCACTAACGTCGCGGGCAGGGGGCAGCGCAGCTTTTACGGGCAGTTTGGGTAAAGCGTATAATACAGACACGCATACAGAAACTCTCGCACGCTTACAGTCGTAACTCGTAACGGCGGCTCCGTGGTTAGGCTTTATAATAGAAAGTTCCAAATGTAGATAAAAAAAATAAATAAAAGAAAAAAAGAAAGGAAGGGAAAATATCGAAAGTCTTTTTTGTCCCTCTTTGTTCTGCCGCCATTCTTATTAACCTTCTCCTTGTCGAGTTAGGGTTTCTAGGGTTTTCAGAGACAGGTAGTAGTTCCACAGATCTTAGGTTTCGCGCAAAAGCTGGATTCTCTATCTTTTTCTTGGAGTATATCTATGCGCCGCTGGTTCAGCGGCTTCGTTGATTAAGTGTCGTTTCTTTGATGAGCATTCAGCTCCTATCATACAGAGTGAGGTTTACGGGGTTCTGGTCTTGTACTGTGGTTATTTTTCTAACTAACTTATGATGGTCTTGACGGTACAATTAGGGCGGGGGTGATTGTTTATTAGATTTGAATGGCATTGGGAGATCTGATGGCATCTCGATTCTCACAATCCTCCGTCGCTGTTTCGAATCATTTTGATGATTTTTCGAGTCATGAAGATGGGGATATTGTTGCACAGAGGAGGGATTCGGAGGCTGGTAGCAGTACAAGTAGCAATGCTGCAGGAACGACGAAGACGACAAGCATGGCATATTTGCCGCAGACTGTTGTGTTATGCGAGCTTCGGCATGAAGCGTTTGAAGATTGCCTTCCGTCTGGTCCATCTGAGAATGGATTGGTCTCGAAGTGGAGACCTAAGGACCGGGTAAGCTCTGCTTTCTGTCTCTGCCTTTCCCCCACCCTTCTGTGTTTGGTTTTTATTTTGCCGCTGTACCGTCATAGGTGACATTTTTAGTTTGGTGGATTGTTTAACTAATACTCTTGATTTGTGAATTTATTACTTTGTTCCCGTTATTAAATACGTGCTTGTATTGATAATTAAACATGGTAGTTGCCATTAGCTTTTGCCAAGCGTAACAGATAGGTGAAGTAAGACCTATTTTTGTTGGAGAATGTAGACTAAAATAAAAAAATGGCTTGGTTTGGTTGGAGGCAATAAGGCAATATTATGTTATGCTGATTTTCTTTTTCGGGGTGCGTTTCCAAGTTATAGCTTCCTCACCATAATACACCATAAGGTGAATCTTGTAGGATGCTAGGCCATTTGGTTATGGTGAAGATGCCAAAGTACTAAGCTATTCCTGTTTCTTACGGGTATTATGACATATCAATCATTGATTCACAACAAACCTTTCGTTAATGAGGAAGCACATTAATTTCGCAAATCAAGCAAGGTGCCGCCACTTGATATGGAAAGATGCAAACTACTAAATATTGTACTTTTCCTTTGCCTGGGACAATGTTTTCAAGGTGCTAAGGTGAGGCTGGCTACTGGGGGGGGGGCGCCTTATTGCCTATAGATGATGAAACTTTTTTAAATGAAAAAAACATGAATCTTAGGGTAATTCCCTAGGTTCCATAGCAACCAACAACCATATTTCACTAATAATTATTGATAATCTTCATAAAAAAGTATAAACTTCATATTAAACTTTAGAACATAGAAAATCAACATATTCATGAGAGGAAAACTCAAAAGAAAAGAAAATCCAGAAAATATAGGGACTGAGCCCCTATTTTTGTCATAGGAAAAGAAGAAAAGAATGAGTGGAAGGGGATGAAGAAGATGTGATGATTAAAATGAAGAATGCATTGACTGGGAAAAATTTTAAGTTCTTTCTTGCTTATTGGTTTGTAGCTTGAAGTCTTTGAGGGTTCAAGATAGCGCAGACCAACATGTGTGTTGCTTTAACCCTAACAAATAAGAAAATAATAAAAAGAAACTAAAACATAAACCCACAAAATGAATATTTTAGTTTAATAATGTCTATTTTATTATTATAATTATAATCCCAAAAAAGAAAGAACACAAGAGTATTTCATAGCACCATGTACTACAAAATAAGCACTCGCTTAAGTGAGGCAACCCTCCATGAGCGCCTTATTGCCTTGACAACAATGGCCTGGGAAAGTTAATAATTAATGCTGGATATTTCTCAGTTGATCAGCCTTCCAGTAATGCCTGTATTATAAATTTCCTTTTCTAACTATTAGATGCTTGCTTTTCCTTGATGCAAAACAATGGGTATTGATTAAAAGAAATCTAGATGAGGTTAGTTAAGAAATATAATAGAAATTTTAGTATAATCCTATGAAATCTAGATGGCATATGATAAAAAATCTATAACATCATTGAAGAATCCACCTTGTCGAACCCCCAGATGTCATGCTGTTAATGGCTTTTGCAGTTTTGCTTGATTGTCAAGAGCCAATATTAATTTGAGATCCTTGATGCAAGGACATAGAAACAGTGATCTACCAATTTTCTGCTTACATTAGGCTTAGGGTATGAATTTAATCTACACAAATTCCTTAATATTCTATGTGCTAGCCTTGGATGTTCTTTGACATGTTAATTTGCCTCTTCCCCTCTCTCTCACCCTTACTCCCCCTCTTTTTATATTTACAGATTTCAGCTTATTCTTTCTTTTTTTTTTGATCATTTCTGCTTATTCTTTCTTCTTTTATTCTTTTCTTTTTATATTTGTGATCAATCACTCCTTTTATATTTACAAATTTCAGCTTATTCTTTCTTCTTCTATTCTTTTCTTTTTATCTTTATGATCAATTATTAAAATCTTGACTCTTATATTTTAACTGTGTTTTTATGTCTTCTTTTTTATCAGAAACGATACTCCCCTTTTTATGTCTTGTCCACATAACCATGACCTTTTCCTTGTACAACTTGGTATAATAGGCTGTATTTATAACTCTGTCTCCATGTTAAAGTGAAGTACAATATTTTACTGTAGAAGAGGCAGAAACATAACTGAAACATTGCAGATTGAAAAAATTTCTGCCCCTTTTATGGTGAAACAAGTAGGACTATAACTGAAATCTGGAAACAAAAGAAAAATGATTTTCCAGGCCTTGGCACTAAACTTGTCAAAATTTCTTGCTCATTCAGCTTCCAGTATGCATTCCCTGAATCTTATCTTCTAAGGCTTGATGAGTTTAATTACTGATAAAAGGTTTGATGAGTTTAAAGCCTCATACTTGTGCAGATTCTGACATTTTTATAACAATCAAAAAATGATTGTGAAATTCATACTAGTAACCATGTAACATAGGGATCCAGGGACCCTACTTTTTTATCCTCTTGCAAAGAGGAAATTTTGTCTGTAAGATCTTGATGATCCTGGTCTCATAGTTTTTCCTGGTCTCTTCATAGTTATTGCTTGTGACTTGTAGTTCTAAGAATATTTACAGAAATGATGTGGACCTTCCTCTTCTGTTACCCCAGATTTTTGGAATGAATTGAAAATTTAGGTTGACAGTTCCTTCTGTTAGGTAGAAAGAAACTATGTGTTTTACTTCTCCTGCCCTCCCTCAAAATACTTATAAAAAAATGGATAAAGAAGGGAAAAAAGAGAAGGAAAATAGGACAAAGAAGATTTGAATAAGCCCACCTATTTTCATTGTTGAAAGGATGATTACCCAGTTTTGATGGAGAGGAGAACTTTTTGAATGGTTTTAGTAGAGAGACTTTAAATGAATGATGAAAGGGAGGCTACAGATCTAGACTACTGGTTTTACTTGAACATGTTGGGTTCCATTCTGCTTTCCAACATTAGAATATGAAAAATTCTTTTTTTTTATGGTAAAAATAGAATTTCATTAAAAGAAAAAAAAAGAGATACATCCTGATAGGTGATAAGCAATGTTTTGAAAATAGTAATTGTATCGTAAATTGTAAAGGGGTTTGAATCGAATTGTATTGTGAATCATATTGTAAATCATAGGGTTTTTTCTGATTTTTCTGAAAGTTGTCAAAAACCTATAAAAAATACCTGAACATCTCAAAAAATCGAGGAACACTGATTTTGCACCAACTTTCAGCTTATAGACATCATATAAGTAGGTAATATTGGTGACAATTACACTTCATTCTTACCATAGCAATAGTCATAATTCAATTTATCCTATGGTATAACTAAGGACCATTTTTCTTTGGTTATCTGTATCCCCCAAGACTTTTAAAGAGAAAAAACCATAATGTTCTCTTTCTATTGCTTCAGTTGTTAAAGTCAAACATGCTTCATAAAAAATATTAAAATAAGACTACTAGGTTGCATAGAGCCTACAAAGATCCAAGAGCAAAATAATTCAAATTTTAAACTGCACATTTCAGTACAATAGTGAGACACTACAAATAAACATTATATATGACTAAAGTAATTAAATTCTAAAGTCTAACTAAGATATCGTGATTCATGTACATATTTTAATTTTAAAGTCTAAAATCTCTAAACACATCAGGTGTTCTGTTTTCACGGAGAAAAAATATGTGGCAAAGCCCTCATTTTGCATTAAGAAAAGGAGGAAAATGATAGGGCATTGCCCCTGTTTTGTGTCAAAACCGATGGAAAAGAATGGGGAGGGGTGCTTGTTTTGCATCAAGAGAAAAGAGGGGGAAAATAGTAGTGCACGGCCCATGTTTTTTTATTTTTTATTGGAAGTGATAATTTTCATTAAAATAGCAGTTAAATACAATAGTATCAACCACTCAGAGCATGAGTATTGACCCCATACAAATCTCAAATCTTACAATACAATCCAATACAAGCTTTCCCTGAGAGTCCCCTGCTTTCCCAAATTGTCAGCCACAGAATTGGCTGATCTCCTTACCCATTTGAAAATTACTTCCACTTCCCTTGCTAGGCAAAGTATTTCCCTCATCTGTTGTCTAAGGGTCCATACACCCAAGCTTTTTGTCTGGAGCCATCCTATTAGAAGTTTAGAGTCTCCCTCTACCTCAGGGTTTTGATTTCCCCATTGCTTGGCCAATCTCATACCTTGAAGTAGAGACATAACTTCAGCCCTTAAGGAATCTCCCACGCCTATTGGGCCAGAATAAAGTGCTTGCATCCTGCCCTACCCATCCCTGAAAACTCTCCCAACTCCAGAGAGCCCCCAGGTTTCCTAATGAGCTTCCAGCGAAATTCAATTTACTCTTTGTTGTGCTGCAGGTGTCCAAAGGGGCTGACCACACACTTTGTGCAGCTGCAGAGTTAGCCACTACTGACCATCCCCTTAGGATATCCACAGTTGAGAAACTTTTGAACGTTTCAGTTGCTTTCAGCCAATGTATGACCCTAACAACTATGGAGTTGATGACTTGCTCCTTGGTTCTTTTCACTCCTTGGAAATATCCTTTTATTCCTCTCTTCCCATAAGGACCAAAGGTAGCAGCTCTTGTTGCCCTCCACATTATTCTACCCCTTTTCTTTGGTAATGTGAAAACTCGGATAAAAAAGAATTGCCACATTTGGAGGAGTCCACCTGCAACCAAATGGAGAAGAAGACCAAATCCACACAAAAGATGCAAGAGGACAGGATAGTAAAAGATGTCTAAGTGCCTCTTCACAGCCCAAGCACAGGCAACAAACATGCGGGGAGTGAACCCAAACATCTCCAAAGGTTGGTAACATACTTCGAAAGGATCTCCAATCTCAAAGTGAACTGGAACAAAAGTTGTGTAGCAGGGATTAATAAAGAGAGAGGGGAAGTAGAAAACCTTGCTAGGATGCTGGGATGCAAGGTAGGGGATTGGCCACTATAGTACTTGAGCTACCTTTGGGAGGGAACCCAAATTCCTATCCCCTCATGAAAAGATGGTTTGCATCTGCTTTCTTAGGTATCAAGGCTATAAAAGTTGCATTTTCCCCTGAGTTGAATTTATCCCTTTCAAAGAATTCCTCAAACACTTCCACCAAATCAGCACCTACAAGTTTACAACCTCCCAGCAATCCTGAAAACCATCCGGGCCTGGGGCTTTGGACCTCTCCATAGAAAAGACTGCTTCCTTAATCTCCTGAATGCCAAAATTCTTGTCCAAGGCTTCCATCAAATCCCTAGAGCTTCTCCTCCAAGCAAAGTTTTCTAGAGATTCTCTAGGTCTCCGCTGTCCAGCAAAGATACCTTTGAAATGATCCACAAAGGCTTGTGCAATATCTTCCGGACCTCATCCCTTGTTAGCGATTGCTCATTCCATTCTAGCTGAGAGATGGTATTCCTTCTTTTCCTTCCATTTGCTACCAAGTGGAAAAAGCTTGTGTTACCATCATCTTCCCTTTACCACTGGCATCTAGATTTCTGTCTCAATTTATTTCCTCTTTGTTTTTGGAGCTCTTCCAACTCTTGCTTTAACCTCCACCTTTCAGCTGTCCCTTACACCCTTATTGTTCTATCCCCTTCAAGCCCACCTAACTCCTCAATTCTATGTGAAATGTAAGCCATTTTTTCTTCTAGAAACCCAAACACCTCCTTATTCCCCTCTTTGATTCTGCTTTTCATGAGGGGAGAGTACCCAAAGGTAGTAAAAGATGGGAAAGAGACCTTGTTTTTGTATAAAAAAGAATAGGAAAATATGGGAAAGAGACCTTATTTTACATTAAAAAAAGAGGGAAAAAAATAGTAGGGCAGAGCCCTGTTTTTGTGTTGAAAACGATGGAAAAAAACAGGGAAAGCCTTCATTTTGCATCAAAACAAGAGGGTGAGAATAGCTGGGCGGAGCCCCTGTTTTCTTGTGATAAAACAATGGAGAAAAGTGGTATTTTACATTAAATAATAGGAGTTTTTTGAGAAAAAAGTAAAGAAACAGGGGAAAATGAAGTGTGGAGCCCCTGTTTTTGGCATCTAAAGAAGAGTGCAAAATAATAGGGCAGAGACCTGTTTTGTGTAAAAAAATAGAAAAAAATAGGGCAGAGCACATGTTCTTGCATTAAAAATTTAAAAGAAGAGGGTTTCATTAAAACCACTCTTTAAATAATCGTATGAATTGCATATAAATCGCGATTTGAGATTCAAATCTATGATTTATACATAAATCATACAATTTTTGCAAAAAAATGATTTATATGTATGATTCGATATGAATCGTATGATTTGAATCATAAATTGTACAATTTTAACAACATTACTGATAGAGGAATCACCACATACAAGAAAACAACTGAAAATTGTTAAACTTATCATACAAGATTTTCCAAATTACACAATTGAAACCCCATTACTTCCCCAAGTTTATCCCCAATATCCTTCTTAGTGACTTGTTTAAATTCTGGTAGTATGAACATCCAGCAGAGTTGCTAATTGCTACCACTATCCTGTCTACTGGCCAAGCTTTGTCCTAAAAAAATCTTCTATTTTTATCCTTCCAAGTATTCCAAGTTTCCAACATATTGCAAAATGAATGCAATTCCAAATAATTTTTGCTTTTCTGCATCCACTTATCTTCGGCCATGAGGAGAAAATTTCTGCGGGTGATCTTGGATGAAAATCTCTTACCCCAAACATGGCTGTGAACAGTTTCCATATAAAACCAGCAAACTTGCATGAAAAAAACAAATGGCAAATGTTTTCCTCCTGCACTCTACTGAGATGGCACATATTTTTTTGAAGATAAATAAAGAAAAAAATTTATTAGGGAAAAGTAGAAAAAGATTACAAGGGGTGATTAGATATCACCCAAACCCATAAAATACCCTAACCACCTCTAATTACAATCCTTATCATAAACCAGAACTCAGAAAACCCTAAAAACCACTGAACCCGAGGCAAAAAGTGCAACCAAAACTTCCCTTGTCCTTTCCTCCCATCATCCCAAGCCCAAACTAGAACTGCCCCAAGATAGCACATTTTAGCCAAGTTAAGTCCTCTTGATTTCAGGTGGTCCACTGTTAAAATACTGTCCATTGCCACAAGCCACACAAAGTTTTCAACCCTAGAGGGAACTAGGTTTCCCCAAACACCTCCAACTTTGTCTGAACTTTTGCTGTCCCTACAAAGAACAATGTAGTATGATTTCACAGAGAATTTCCCATTTGGGCATTCTTTCCATCTTAATTCATTCCTCGACTGATCTGAAATTTTCACCTTCTCTAATTTTTTCCAGCAAAGCAATGCTCCCCCCTTCTTGCTCCCTCCCCTACTGAAAAACTTGTTACCTAAAGTCCCGATTGAACTTCATAATCCCTTTCCAGAATCAAACCCATAAGATGATCTCACCTCCCCTGATTCCCACCCAAATCTTACTACCCCATATTTTTCCAGCCACCACTTTCCTCCGTAATGAATTTCCTTCCTCCCTATACCAAATCTCCATCGCCACTTTCCAGTCAAGGCCCTATTAAAAACCCTCACCCTTCTAATATCCAGCCCACCCCTTTTCTTTGGTCTACATTCTTTTTCCCATTTTACCAAGTGAAGCTTCTTACCCCTTCCCATAAGAAATCCCTTTGAAACATCTCCATTCTTTCAGCTACTTTTGGTGGTATCTTTAATAAAGACATATAATAAGTTGGTAAGCTTGAGAGTACACTTTTGAGTTTATGCTTTTAAGAACCGCATTTGTTTCAAAGCAATATCAGAGTCTATAAGTATGAAGTAAGGTTCAGTTTGGGAAGAGTACAAATACTAGGTTTAGAAGTATCATATACATGGTTTTGCATTGAACATATTTCTATTTGCAATCTGCCCAGACTGAGCCTATGCAATTATAGATTCGTAGAAATTCTGTTGGCAAGTGGTGCTTGGTGTTCTAGTTTTTACTCTTTACTGCATTCCAATGATTGATCTAGAGTTCTAGACACAACTGATTTTAGTTGGACCTCTTGAGTTCCCTTCTGCTATCTAACTGTTAGTATATCAAAGTAAATTCTAGTATCTAGTTTATTCCATTTATTAGTTTAAGCTTTTAAGAACCATTTATTTCAAAACAATTTCAGTCTATGAGTATGAAGAAAACAATTATAGTTTTTAGTCTTCACTTCATTCCAATGATAAACAAACGTTGTTGTAAGGCTTGATTGGTGCTTTTTTCTTTTCTCCTCATATTGTTGTCTGTATTGATGTTTTTATTCTTCTTTTATTATTCTCTGGTTGTCCATATATTCATTCCTTTGGTATTTATATTCTGTTTGGCATCCATGTTAATTTGACAGTTTTGACGCTTAATGTCTAGTGCAGATGAAGACTGGGTGTGTAGCACTTGTCTTGTGTTTAAACATTAGCGTTGATCCACCTGATGTAATTAAAATCTCTCCTTGTGCAAGAATGGAATGCTGGATAGGTAAAGTGATCAAGCACTGCCAAATTGTTTTTATCTGATCACGTATTAAATTTTCCTCTGTTTCATTACTGATTTGTTTTGGTCAGCAAGAAAAGATTATTATATTAAGAGACAAAAGAGTTTTGTACAATAAGAGGCTTGACTGCCAACCAAGAGACAAAAATTACAGTTCTGTTTTCTTACCGATAAAAAAATTTCTTCGGTTTCACCTGTATCTGCTACTACTACAAGGTCCATTAGTCAGGTAAATTGATCTTACTTGGCACTTCTAACACTGTAAATGGTTGATTGTCAGCATGATATGCATTCTTGCCAAGAAACAAAGGAGGTGACAACAATGAGTTGTCCTACTTGGCCGTTTCTGCATTGTTGGATCTATAAATTTTACTCTGTTAACAAGATTGTCTTAGTTGTCTTAGTAGGTTGCTGCTAGTGTTTCCAATCCTGGTAGGAATTTAATTCTTTGCCTAGCCAATGGAAGAAGAGTACTAGAAAGAAACCCTAAATAGGTGTTTTGGAAGAATTTCATGTTGAGGTCCACATGTCTAAGGGTCTGTTTGGTTCGTAGTCGGAATCGGAATCGAAATCCTCTGGAATCGGAACCGGAGTGGTCCATTCCCATAGTCTGTTTGGTTCAGACAGGAATGGGAATTAAAATCAGCAGGAATGGGATTTCATTCCCAAGGGAGGGGCAGGGAATGGCCACTCCTTCAAATGGGGGAATGCCATTCCAGCAGGAATGGGAATGGGATTCCGATTCCACCCAACCGAACAGTGGGAATTGGAATAACCCATTCCGATTCTGAATCCGATTCCAGATCCTTATTCCTGCAAACCAAACGGACCCTAAGTTGTCAGTAGAATTGTCAACAGAACTGGAAAAGACTATGATGAGCTCTTTATGGGATTCTAGGGGTTCTCTATTACACTATGTTTGCCAAGAAAACAAGAGAACAGAAAAAAAAATTTCTTTATGAGCCAACTTGGGTCAATCTTTCTTTGTTTCACTGTCCATTGTTTTCTTTCTCTATCTTTTAGGAGAGAATGCAAAGGAGGCAATGTTTTAACAACCAACCCAGAGGATGAACCATTTTATCCTCTAGGTCGTGGGTCAGTGGTTCAACCGGCCAAGTTGGATAGCTCAGACCATGACACACCATCATGCGTATATGTAGGGCTGTAAATGGACTGGATATTGTTCCAATCCAATCTGGTCCAGCATGAGTCCATTGTAGATGGACCAGGTCCAATCCAATCTGATGAATACATTGGACCATTCTGGATTGGTCCAATTCAATGTCTGGACCATCCAGTGAGTTGGCATGCCTAGGCGCACAGGCGAGGCACATTTTAGGGTATGTGCCTCACCTAGGTCCTAGGTGCATTTTATATTTATGTATTTTAATTTTAGATAGTATTTTTTTAAAACAGTTTATATTTTTTATTAATATTATGTTTAGTATTTTTTTTGCATTTTTTGAATTTTCTGGCATTTATTTTGATTTTTAGCATTTTTTTTATATTTGTGCACCTTGCTTCAAAAAGGCGTGTGCCTTGCCTTGTGCCTGTGCCTTTTTTCCGCCTTGCACTTTTAAAACACTGGGACCTTCCAAACTGTTCAAATTGGTTTTAATTTAGATTGAGTCCAACCCAAACCTGGTCCATTGACACCTGTACTCTTATCTTATGTCAATGGACCGGACATTGGTTTAATCTGACCCAGTCCAATGTAAATCCATTACAAGTTGACCAGGTCCAATCCAATCCAATATAATACTTTTGACCATTAATTCTGGTCTGGTCCAATTCAGTGTGTCTTATTGGTCTGTCCATCTGTTCAAATTGATTTTGATTCGGATGGGTCCAACCCAGGTCCATTGACACCCCTACGTGTGTGTGTGTGTGTGTATTCATAAATAAAAACTAAAAATTGAGATTTGAGGCCAAAAGTTTTTTTTTTTTTGGCAGAAGTAATGGAGCAAGGCACATTGGGAGTTGGGATGCATATATCACAAAATGTTACCCAAAATAAAAAAACACCCTAATCAGCTTACCGGTTGCAAAGTTACGTCCTTTGGAAGTTTGCATATTAATTGTAACTTGTAAACCATGATGACCCAACAACTGGGTCAAGTGGGTCAACCGTCAACTGCTCTGGTCGGACGAGTTTTGTTGAAGTAATTGGTTTTTCAACTATTGGTGGGTTTGAGGTTGATCTAAACCAGAATTGTGGCCCTGACGTTTTTACTGGTCTGACTGGCTGGATCAACAACGGTCTGCAAACACTGAAAAGAAGTGAAAGAGAAAATATACCCCTTATTTTATGTCAACTATGTTTCTTCTTTTGGTTCCCTTTGTCAGCCAAAAGTAAGGAAGGTCACTTCCTTTTGGATTTTCTTTTCCTACATTCCATTTTCTTTGCAACCAAAGCCTTATGGACTGCCTTGTGAAGTTGAAAGAGGTGTGTAAGCTGGAAGAGGAGGGCATGTTAGGAGTAGCATAAAGAACTAAATTATTATGGGCCTGTTTGATAACAGCTGAAGTGGCTTAAATGAATGGCTTACTGTGGTTAGCCGCACATTTTTGCATTTCACCATCGATCATCTGTAATTTCCTTTGTTAGATTGAGTCCTCAAATCTTTTGTTACTACCTCAGGTGGTTATTTATTTTACATTCCCAGTCATGTTTTCTTAATCTATTTGAAAGAAAATTTAAGGAACATGGGATTTTAGTTATTGGTTCAAGTTCCAGTAATTACATGGATTGCAAACCTTTTTTTGTTATGTATTTATGTTTGCTGGATATTCTTAGGTTTCTTTAAGAGACATGTTCAATATGTTGAAATTGTAGCTTTTATTTGATTTATGTTGGATGGTTCCATGATTTATTTTAATTAGAATACACTTAAAAGAATATTTAATTTGGATTGGTTGTTACAAATTACCAAATGATTTTTCCATGCCTTTTTATGCTTGCTTTTTTCCCCATTTCTTGATAAGAAACAGCAATCATTCTCATTTTTTTTTCATTGGTTGGCAGATCCGTTTTCTATGGCAGCTCCAAAAGCATTGGAAATGATTGGAAAAACTTTGCATGCTCAATATGAAAGATGGCAGCCTAGAGTACGAGAGTATCTGCATTTTGTACTAGTTTGAGGTTTTAGTTCATAATGGTGCTTTTATAATTTATTAAATGATCTCTTGTGTTGTGATTAGGCTCGCCCCAAGCTTCAACTTGATCCTACTGTGGATGAAGTAAAGAAACTTTGTAATACCTGTCGCAAAAATGCCAAATCTGAGAGAGTGCTCTTTCATTACAATGGGCATGGAGTGCCAAAACCAACTGCTAATGGTGAAATTTGGCTGTTTAATAAGGTAAAAATCTTCTTAGTTCTTTCCATACTATTTTCATGCACTTGCTAGGGTGCTGTTTTTTCCTGGTTCTAACTACAGTGCACCTTGTGTAGAGTTACACACAGTACATTCCTCTGCCAATCAGTGACCTTGATTCCTGGCTCAAAACACCCTCTATATATGTTTTTGATTGCTCTGCCGCAGGCATGGTTGTTAATGCCTTCATAGAGGTTAGCAACACTCTCTTTAGTTCACTCACTGAAAAGGTTGTCTTAACTTGCATATTTATGAAGTTTTCTTGCAACATTGTTATTCTGTCTGTTCTAATATTATCTATTACCTCTGGTTAGCTCCTAAAAGAAAGTAATTCTTCTGGTCCCGGATCTTCAGCAAAGGATTGCATTCTTCTTGCGGCCTGTGAAGCACATGAGACTCTTCCGCAGAGTGCTGAATTTCCTGCTGATGTGTTCACATCCTGCCTCACAACACCAATCAAGATGGCACTAAGATGGTAAAGTCCATCTATATTTTTTCTTTAGCAATTTTTTTGATAATTTGTTCTTTAGTAATTTTAATTATTCCTCTGTACTTTCTCTTGGGATGGACATTTAAGTTGTGAGCATATGCAATTCTCTCTCTCTCTCTCTCCCCAATAGTATTTTGAAGTGCCCTTCTAAGTGAAAGGGATGTTAGGTTCGTACAGTCTTAGAAATGTTCTTGGAGCACTTCTGTATGATCATAACTCTATGTGGGATGACATTTATGTATTTTGAACAAATGGGTCCTGAATACATTGATATAGATATTCTATATGGTGTAAGCACTCTTGTATAATAATCATTTTATGATGGGTAAACAATTGAACACTGTATTTGACAAATCTTTGCAAAATAGCCTATATATTTTGTATCATCCAAATGAGCTTTTAAATGTTCTGCTCTACGTTTAATTTGAATCCTCTGCTCTCTTTCTTGGTTGTTTCCTGTATACTTTAAGCAGTTGTTATTGGTACATCTGGTGATTGTATCCTTTGCTTGCATTGATGTTTGTATATTGGTTTAGTCATAGTGTTTTGTTTGAACTTTCATTTTCATGCATTTTTCCCAGGTTTTGCACACGTTCATTACTTCATGATTCCTTTGATCACTCCCTCATTGACAAAATTCCTGGCCGCCAAAATGATCGAAAAACACTTCTGGGGGAGCTCAACTGGATTTTTACTGCAGTGACTGACACAATTGCTTGGAATGTCCTTCCTCATGGTGATGAACTGTTGAAAAAATTTGCTTTGTATTTATGCTTTCTTTAAATTTGCTTTTCCTTTTTTACCCCTTTTTGTGGTTTATCCTAGTCAACACTGAACTTGGCCTTGTGCAGAACATTTCCAGAGGTTGTTCAGGCAAGACCTGCTGGTTGCAAGTCTGTTCCGGAATTTTTTACTTGCTGAGCGAATAATGCGATCTGCAAATTGTTCACCAATTTCATATCCAATGTTGCCTCCAACTCATCAGCATCATATGTGGTATTTATCTCCAGATGCATCTTAATGGTACTGTTTCTATAAAAAATTTTCCATCTCATTTATATCATGTTTGGTACAGGGATGCTTGGGACATGGCTGCTGAAATTTGCCTTTCTCAGCTTCATATGTTGGTTGATGAACCCAATGCAGAGTTCCAGGTGTCTCCATGGTTTAAATTTTTGATTATCAGAATTGCATATTTTGTAGAACGATAGTTTATAGTTATATGTTGTGCTTTTCATTTTCCGTTTCCAATAAGAACTTGATTGTTTCTGGTTTGACATACAGCCAAGTCCATTTTTCACGGAGCAGCTAACAGCTTTTGAGGTATGGCTTGACCATGGGTCTGAACACAAAAAACCACCAGAACAGTTGCCCATTGTTCTTCAGGTGAGGCGCCTTCTAGGTCTCTTTCAAGATGATTGTTATCAATTATATATATATATCCATGTAAAAGCTGTATGATATATTTTCAAGCATGCCAATTGGTCAATAACTTTCAGTTTTAGTTATCTACATTGTTGGAGGAAATATAGTGTAGTTTCTATATGCATTTCTTAGAAGAGTCTGTAATACATTGAGTGTCACGCTGTGGAGATGTGTGACGAATGACATTGTTAGTATTGCCCTTGTAATGGGGTTTGAATCCCCCCTTCCAAACAAGGTTCTCTCAACCTCAACCCTAGCAGGAAAACTGGCAATGGTTATTTGGGTACCCTGCTGAATGTTCTATCCAAGCTAAGCACCAATCTCTAATTTGATGCCTGCATTTATGGACCATTTGTTCCAGGGCATGTTAGTGTTGGTGCCTAATGCTTATTAGTGCATGATTGTTTTGGTCCCTTCCTAGTTAGGTTTTACATTTTCACTTTCCATTATTAAATGTCATTCACTGTCATACCGTCTTGAGTTAAAGGCTTTTGGGTATTTCTTTTTTCTTTTTATTCTTCATTTAAGATGATTCTCATGGTCTTCCTTTTTTTTTCTTTTATACTAAAGTATTGATCCATTTTCTTCTCAGGTTTTGCTTAGTCAATGTCATCGATTTCGTGCATTGGTTCTTCTTGGAAGATTTCTTGACATGGGCCCTTGGGCTGTTGATCTGGTAATGTTTTGTCTCTTATGTTTGCCCCTATACACTATTCTATTGTCAGTATATTACTTGTTGCAAAGCATATTTGCTTCTTACTAATTTACAAGTTACTGATTTGCTTGCAGGCTTTGTCTGTTGGGATATTTCCCTATGTACTCAAGTTGCTGCAAACAACAGCAATGGAATTGAGACAGATTCTTGTATTCATATGGACAAAGATCCTTGCACTTGATAAGGTAAATCATTCATACATTTTGCATTTTTTCATGAATTATATTTTGTAATTTCTTGATAACATTTTAAATTCAGCATCTTCCTTGATAACTAAGAAATATAGAGAAGAAGCCAATTAATTTTAACTTGTTATTCTGATAAGTGTGTGGTTATATGTTGCTAACTGTTCATGTTATTAATCTGTGTGAAAAGAATAGGATTTAGTACAAAGTGAAAGATGTCCCTAACACTCCTCAAGGTTTAGGCCAGCAATTGTTGCCTAAGAATAATTCCAGTCCTTTACGTTCATGTACTCAATCTTTTTTGATTAGTAATTCCTTGGTTCAACTGGTTTCTGCTCACTCCTTGTCTGGTCAATGCATCTGCCATGCTGCTTGCTGATCTCTGAGACCATGAGAAAGTTCTACTTAATTGAGTTAATTCCCTAGCCAGATTTCACCCCTCATTATGTGTCTGTATTGCCATGTTCCAGGCCCATCTGGTATTGGAGGGGTGTTTAGGGACAGTGAAGGCCACATCATTGGTCTTTATTCAGGCCTGATTGGCCCATCTGGTATTGGAGGGGTGTTTAGGGACAGTGAAGGCCAGATCATTGGTCTTTATTCAGGCCTGATTGGAATGGGTTACTCCCTAAGGGCTGAGGTTATGGGCCTTATGGCGGTTATAGAAGGTCTGTAAAAGGCAAAAGATCTGAATGTCAGAAAGCTGATTGTAGAAGGTGATTGAAAACTGGTTTTAGATTGGCTGCAAAAGGCTGATAAAGGATTCTGGATTTTTAATAACGAAAAAAAGAGATTCAAGTGGATGATTCAAGATATGAAAGTGCAGTTCAGTTGGGTTAAAAGGGCAGCAAATAGTTTTGCTGATGTTTTAACAAAACAAGGGGTGGGGAGGAATCAGTTGTTTTGGTCTCAGGCCGCTCAGCTGTAACAGTGTTGTTGTTTGTGGATAGTTAAGATGGTTTACCTCTCCCTATCTTGTAATTCTTAATATTTCTAATGAAATTCTGTTATTGATCGAAAAAAGAAAAACAATTCAGTTCTTGTTGATCCTTGGTGAAGTTCCTGAGAAGATGGCCATTATATCATCATGAATATCCCTGTACAATCCCTGTACACTCCAAATTGAGTGACACAAAATTAGTAATTGGGTGGTTGAAAGAACCGGGGACAATGGCTTGGTTTTATAGGGGAGCCTTGAGGACATTCAAATGGCTAACCACAAATATCAAAGTCAGATTTCAATGGTAATGAAGATTGGCAAATGGGATGACAGATTGTCTAGCTAAACTAGGGGTGCATAGGAACTGGCTTTTTTGGGCTTAGTTTTTATATTTTTAGGTTGTTTAGAGGCTGTACCTCGTGCCTCTTTGTGGGAAGCAATCACTGTGTGTTCATTATTGATCCTTATTAAAATTCTATATCCTTATTAAAATTCTATTACTTGTAAAAAAAACTAAACTATTGAAGTTTAGTTTTATAAAGTCCAATATTGGAGCAGATCAAGTGATGCCTGCTTTAGCAGTTGAATGCAACATACTACCTTCCCCTAAGGATATTTATCTGTAGAGAAAGACTAAAAGGCTTGGAGATTTATCCAATGATCTACCTCTTCTGAGATACTTTCAACCACATCTTCTTTGGTGTTGGTTACTTGAATATTCTGGCATTTATCTCTTCCCAAACTAACCAGTAACCATAAGATTGCTGTCCTTGTGCACATTGACATAACCTTCCCTCTCTTCTTTTTGAAGAGAGTTAGTGAGTTTCTTTTACCTACTCTAGAACTACTTTAGGATACTTTGTTCTTATAAAAAAAGGAACTACTTTAGGATATAAAATCTACTATATCGGAATTATTTGTATCTTTTTCATTTATCTTCCTTTTTCTACAACAATGTTCTTTTGTTGCTTTTTAGTTGTCTTGGCTACACAAGTATTTTCTAAAACAATAACCATTTAATTTTTCTTTGTTGTGGAATATTAGTCTTGTCAGGTTGATCTTGTGAAGGATGGGGGCCACATATATTTTATCAGGTTTCTTGATAGCATGGAAGCCTATCCAGAACAACGGGCAATGGCTGCATTTGTTTTGGCTGTCATTGTTGATGGGCACAGACGGGGACAAGAAGCCTGTATTAAGGCTGATTTGATTCATATCTGCCTGAAACATCTCCAACTTGCAATTCCCCATGATGCACAGACCGAGCCATTACTTCTTCAATGGCTATGTCTTTGTCTAGGGAAGCTGTGGGAGGATTTTCCAGAGGCGCAGATAGTAGGTTTGCAGGCAGATGCACCTGCAACATGTATACCTCTTCTGTCAGAGCCCCAACCTGAGGTATTGCTTTTGTTTTAATTCCTTTACTCCTTCAGGTGTCCAGCCAAACATTGTGCCTTTAACATGAGCTACCATGTTTCAGGTTCGGGCTTCGGCTGTTTTTGCTTTGGGCACTCTTCTTGATGTTGGTTCTGAGTTGTTCAGAGATGGGGTTGGAGGTGACGAAGAGTGTGATGATGATGAAAAAGTTAGGGCCGAGATTAATATCGTTAAAAGTCTTCTATTGAATGTTGTTTCAGATGGAAGCCCACTGGTCAGAGTGGAAGTTGCTGTAGGTATGTAATCAGACCTCCGACTTTCTATTTGGTTCTCTTCAATATGATGTGGAACATGTAATGAGACCTCTGACTTTGCAAACCATTTCCCTGATTGCACATACACCCAAAGAAAGAAAAGAAATGCATCCAAATCATAAATATTGGAGTACATTTGCCATTTGATTTTTATTTTGCCTTCTGAATAATAAGTTAACACAGTCTTCCTTTCTTTGTAAAGAAACTGATGTTTTGTGTTTGCTCATTGTTTTTCTGTTCCTGTATGGTTCAGAATTTTTATGTTTTCYCGTTTTCTTATGAAAAGAGGATGATACCTGTTGTAGTTATGGTAGGCATATATCAGTTACACTGTTGCTGGTCCAACTTCTTTATCTTTAGCATAGGAATGGTGGATTTAATTATTTCTTTGAAATCATGGTCAAGAATGTTATTCTTTGAAAATTCAAGTGGTGCTCTATAAAATTCTAGAGTAGCATTGAAACTGTGGGTCAAGGCTTAGGATTTTGAAAGAAAACAAAATTTTTTGATAGTGTAGAAGATAATTTCACCTCCCAAGACCCCAAATAGCTGAGACCAACATTGAGCAATGACCTCTTTTTTAAAGAAGAAAATTTCATTAAAAACGGTGATAAGACATCACTGAAAAGAGAAAATGAATGACTACCACCCTCCTAACTCAGAACAATCACAATCAATCTACACAAAAATCAACCTCCCAACATTAATATCTATTAAAGAAACCTCCATACCAGTATTTCGTGCTACATAAAATCAGCCGATATCAACTCACCCAAAACACCAAACCAATTTAATTCAATCTCAACATTTCTGCAAACCTTTATCTACCTTTTCCATTCTCCCCCTCTACGTTTCCACTTCAGCATGACCCTCCACACACATCCCTTAGTCTCCTAATCTCACCCCTTTCTAGACATGCCCTCTTTTCCTACTCTCTAACCATGCAGCTTCCTTTTTCATCCTAAATAATCTGCAATTATGTTTTGATCCTTCTCTTCTGTGCACTTCCTTTCTCTTTCTCTTCCAATTTCTCAAAAGTTCTTGCTGCTTCTTTTCCTCCTATATAAAAGATACCAATTACCTTTCCCAACATCTATTTCTCTATCAAGCATCTTAATTCCATCTGTTTTTAATTTCCTCACTTCATCAATACACACCTTCCCACTCCTCCTAACTGAACATCATTGCTTACCAGAACATCCTGTCTTGTATGTAACAACAGCCTTCTCTTTCTGTTACATCTGTGTTTTGTTCTTATACCAGGGGAAGCCAAAATGAACAATGCATATCAAATTCCTATCATTTTGGTGAATAAGTTGGGTAAATCAGATCAATGAAAGAAACAGGCAAAATGAGATTCTAATAGAAAATATTTTGGGGTGTGGTTTTGTTTTTTTGGTTGATTTTCTTTGTTTGGGGAGATGAGTATGTGGGATCTGTTTCTTGTTTTCTCTTTTCTCTTGGGTGACTTCCGGTCACCTTCCTTGTATTTTTTTTTTATTTTTTATTTTAATAATTTTTTTACTACCCAAAAAAGATTGTAATAGAAAAGAAGGAAGAATGAGGCATAAGTCAGTGATAGGAAAAGGAGTCTAATTACGGTGCATTTTGAATTTTTTATGGCATGTTCCATCAAAATTTCAACCATTCACGTTAAAGACATCACATGGTCTACATACTTTTCATTGGTTCACATTTCACAGGTGTATTTTCATGTTTCACAAGGTATGCTTATCATTAAAGACTAGCAATGTTAAATATGTCACTATTATGTGTTGCTTTATCACTAGTTTGTCCACGTTTGAGTTATGTTGCAGCTATTTCCAAGAATGCATTATAGATTTTACCTAGGATAAAAGCTTTTATTGGCAGGTATTCTAAGTTTTTTTTTTTTTGTCAAAATTTGATTGGATTGTGAAACTTCACTGATATTCTGGTAATAGCTTTGGTTTCAAAATTAGATCAGAACTTAGTTCTACTTTGAAATCTAATGTGCTGTTGGTACTTTCCTGCAATAGTATAGCAATGCAGTTTTGCAGGTAGAAATTTCTCATGCATGATCTCTTCTGGCATTTAACAACATTCAATTTTTGTTTCCATGAGATAAAAAGGGAAAAAAAAAAGATCAAATGTGAGCAGTTTTGATGCACGTGTATTAAGGAATATGATCTGCCTGCACTTGCTACAAAATGATCACTAAACCTTATTTGCACGTACCTTTATTTTATGCTTAGTTTATATGTGGAACATCTCATTTTCCATCATGTGTTATGGATTCAAATTGGATGTACTAATATTGATTCACATTATGCATGAGTTATCCATTGATCTATTCTGATATATGATTTGTGTGAGGGTGGGCCTTGGTGTAATGGTTGGGTTGCACCATTGTGACCTAGGTGACTGGGGTTCAAATCATGGAAAGTTGGAAACAGCCTTTCTGTATGTGACAGGGGTAAGGCTGCATAAATCTGTCCCTCCCCAGACCCTGCATTGGCAGGATTCTCGTGCACTAGGCTGCCCTTTTTTATATGATTTGTGTGTATGCTTTCCCAGATGATGTATCATTCTGGGGATCTATTCTCTGTATCCTTGTTTTGACTGTTGAGTTTATTTTCTGACAGCTCTTGCACGCTTTGCCTTTGGTCACAATAAGCACCTGAAGTCAATTGCTGCAGCATACTGGAAGCCACAGTCTAACTCTCTGTTAAATTCCTTACCATCTTTGGCTAGTTTTAGAAGTCCAGGAAGCTGCTATACTAGTACAAGTCAATACATGCAGCATGGAAGTACTATTCCTTCCCAAATTGGTCCTGTGATGAGAGTTGGCAGTGACAGCACAGCTGTGGGTCGAGATGGTAGGGTTTCCACTAGCAGCCCTCTTTCTTCTTCAGGATTAATGCATGGGTCTCCGTTATCAGATGATTCATCTCACCATTCTGATTCTGGCATACTATTAAATGAAAATGCCAGTAATGGGGTAATTAAACATTCAAGGTCAAGATCACTTGACAGTGGAATATATTCACAATGTGTATTGTCTATGTGTACCCTTGCCAAGGATCCATCACCTCGGATTGCAGGTCTTGGTCGGCGGATACTCTCAATAATTGGTATTGAACAGGTTACAAAGCCATTACGCTTCAATAGCAGCAGTATTCGGCAAGGGGATTGTGTAAACACATCTCCAGCCCCTAACCTTGTTGGTCTGGCAAGATCATCTTCATGGTTTGACATGAATGCAGGTAAACTTTTATTTATTTTTTATATGGTATGGCTGGTATTATTAGTCTCTATTTTCATTTGTTGCCCATGTATGTTAATGCATCATGAATCTACAATGTGCCATTTATTATGATTTAATTTTGCAAGGCAATAGAACTTCTTTCTGATTGTGTTCCATTATTTTTTTAATACTCATACAAGTCCACAACCTGACCTCACTATGATTTTTCTCAAGGCATGTCCGATGCCAAAATTTTGTTTTACCTATCTTCCAATATGTTCTATACAATATGAATTCTTCTATTTGCTGCCTTCTGACAGGTCATTTACCTTTGACATTTCGAACTCCTCCTGTTAGTCCCCCTCGTCAGAATTATTTGACAGGAATACGAAGAGTTTGTTCTTTAGAGTTCAGGCCGAACCTGTTGAACTCTCCTGATTCAGGATTAGCTAATCCCCTTTTAGGTTCTGGTGGACCTTGTGGGGCTTCAGAGCGTAGTTTGCTTCCACAATCAACCATATATAATTGGAGTTGTGGTCATTTCTCAAGGCCACTCCTTACTGCAGCAGATGATAATGAAGGAATAATTGCTAGAAGAGAAGAGAAGGAAAAATCTTCTTTGGATGGCATAGCAAAATGCCAGCATTCTTGTGAGTTTTTTCCTTGTAATTTGATCAGCATGAGTCTTCAGTGTTCAACTTTATTTTTATCTGTAAACCTTTTTTTCATCTTTTTGTCTTTTTTGCTTGGGGAAGTATAGTGATCATGGGGCATCTTTGTTTCACAGCTGTAAGCAAGCTCCATAATCAAATTGCTAGTTGGGATACCAAATTTGAAATGGGTACAAAAACAACTCTTCTAGGACCTTTCTCTCCTATTGTAATTGCTGCAGATGAGAGTGAAAGAATCAGGTACAGAACTTTTCTTCTCTTTACTGCTAAAAGTTATTATTTATCATTACATTATCATCATCTTCATTATCATTGTTGTTGACGTTATAACTTTTGTCCTTAATGTTATTACTTTTATTTGTATGCCTGAATGCGCTTCCAGTGACTGCTTACTTGTACAGAGTTGTACATGGGTAAATATTCATGCATTGTGGGGCTTGTAGTTGGGTATGTACTTTATATATAATTTGTTTAGTCATGTTCTTGGCCATCATCATCACCATCCAAGTCTTATCCAAACTATATGGGGTCAGGTGCACGAATCCTTTTTTGCCATTCTGTTATGTATAAAGCTATATTTATTGTTAAATTATGAGTGGTTAAATCATAATTTGTTTACTCATGTTCCATAACGGAATTGTTTTTAATTCTGTTTATACTGAAAATGAGCATATTGTGTTGTGACCAGTCAAGATTCCAATGGGTTTCCTATGGAAGCCTAGAAACACTGATTGACTTAGTTAATCTACTTGATGAAATGTTGATGGGTTTGGTGTCTTCTTGATGCTGGTTTCTTTTTGTTTTTTAAGTTTTTATAACATTATCTGCATTTTTGGTTGCTTTTCAGGGTATGGAACTATGAGGAAGCGACTCTTCTCAATAGTTTTGACAATCATGATCTTCCTGAAAAAGGAATTTCAAAGTTGTGCCTTGTAAATGAGCTTGATGAGAGCCTGCTTCTTGTTGCTTCATGTAAGATTCGTAGCTGGTATGTTTGATAAGCAGTGTGGTGGTTGTAACTAGCCACTTCAGCAGAATTTAAAGATGGATCTAATGGTGTGCTTATTTAAAATAGGTGATGGAAATATTCGTATATGGAAAGGTTATACCGTAAAGGGTAAACAAAAGCTTGTAACAGCATTCTCTTCAATTCAAGGCCATAGGCCTGGAGTTCGTAGTGTCAATGCCGTTGTGGATTGGCAGCAGCAATCTGGATATTTGGTACATGTTCACTTCAAGACTGTTTTCTCGATCATTGTAACTAAAGGTTGATAGTTTTACATTTATTTTCTTTAATGTATTTCTTTTATGATATTGCAATCAGTATGCTTCTGGGGAGATATCATCCATCATGCTATGGGACCTGGATAAGGAACAGCTTATTAGTTCCATAACTTCATCATCAGAGAGCAGCATCTCAGCGTTGGTTAGATTTCTTTGTACTTTATTTACTGGTGAATATAGAACATAAATTTGAAAAACTACAAATTGGTGGTGTTTCTTTCTAGTGCTTCCTGAGGCACAATTATGAAAAACTATAAATTGGTTTCCTGAGGCATTTAAAGGCCAGGCATCTGTGTTCCACCATTTTATTCCAAGCCACCTTACTTCAGAGGCATATAGGACCATTGGATTCTTTAGCTTTGTTTGCCTTCTTTCTATAATTTTTAATTCATATTTTAGTATTATGTTTTCTCACATTGTTGTTATTGGTAATGATTATGATGTTTGATGCTTTTACTGAACATATTCCATTTTGCAGTCTGCCTCTCAAGTTCATGGGGGTCAGCTGGCGGCTGGGTTCGTTGATGGTTCTGTGAGACTATTTGACATCCGTACTCCTGAAATGTAAGTTTGCTTCTTTTTGCACGAAATTATCCTCTGAGAGTGCCAGCGTTGAACATTTTGTATGCAATCTGAAGTGTTTTACGTGAAACTCTCTCCTTGCCTTTTGCTTTGTACTATTCTTGTCATGTAGCATAATTTTGGGTAAATTACAGATTACCACTGTGCTTGGGGGTAGTGACACTTACCCCCAACTTTCACTTATGACAAAACCCCTAATATCCTTTCAAGATTCATATGGACTAGAGGATGGTATTTCAAAATGACAAAAATGAGTGGGGCTATATGGCAAATTACTTTATCTCTCTTTTTGGCCCACTTGAGGTCAGAAGAAAGAATTATAAGTAAAGGATTTATACAAATATGGAAGCAAGGGCATAAAATAGTCTCACAACTTAAAGAAAGGGTAGTTTCGAGATTTAGAAATGTTTAAAAAGCACATAACAGTCATATGAGAATCTTTTTCAAAGTTATCTGATGGAATGCTAACGGAGGGGCAAAGTGTTAGATGCTTAAAGTTCAGGGGGGTCTTTGTCACAAATGAATGTTTGGAGGTCCAAGTGTCACTTGCTCTAAAATACAACTTAAAGTGTTAGATACTTAAAGTTCATGGGGGTCTTTACCCTAAACTTTAGTTGGGCGATTCATTATCTTTATTTGTTCTCTTCCAATCTTAGTTTTCTGCTTATTAGCTCTACTTTGGTCTGTTTGTTAAATTATAGGCTTGTTTGTTCTACACGTCTGCACACTCAAAGAGTAGTGGGGATTGGCTTTCAACCTGGATTGGATCCAGCAAAGGTATGTTGCTTCAGTGCCTTAGTCAGGTTTCTAAGTAGGTGAAATTGTGTTTGATATGGTACCCAAATGTCTCATATACTATGAATACTATGAGAGTTACAGTGGCAACAGTTTTTGTAGTTCCCCTGCGTAATAATTCAGACATAAATCTCTGTTTCTGTTATTATTAACAATGTCGTTAGACTTGGACCAGACTGGATGGTTGAATGGTGAACTAGTGGTCCTGTGAGCTTTCTGACTACTAGATATTTGATGATTAACATTATCGATATTTAACATGTGGCCTCTGATGTTTTGGGTTGTATAACGGTCACAATGAGAGTGCTTTTATGGCAAGTACAGCACTAGAGATGGTTTGCAACAATGTATGTGCTTGGTTACTGAAGGATCCTGTATGTGCTTGTTTACTGAAGGATCCAAAATGATGGAAATATTTGTCCCAACGTTGTGGTAGGCTAGCCTTACTCAACATTATTTTGTAATGGTTGTGCAGGTCATTATAAATTAGTTACTTTCCGAACTAATAGTTTATAATTAAATTTGGTTTTTAATATTTTTAAAAGGTAATTTTATGTTAATAAAAACAATTGCTGAAAGTGACCAACCGAGGGCTGGCTTGTTGGTGTGTTAGCTGGTTTGTTCCAGCGTTGATGCAGAATCAAATCCCGCAACCAGCACTTTGGGGAAAAAGGGGTCAGGGGGAAGTTATTAATGGGTGCATAGCACCGAATACCAAAGAAAAAAAACAGTTTAAATTTATCGAAAAAAAACAATGCTGAAAGTGAAACATGAAGGCTCAGTTTGGAAAGATAACAAATGCAATGATCTACAGTGCAAGTATATAGAGTACAAGGTTTTGTATCCACATATTTGTATTTGTACTCTTTTCAAACTGAGCTGAAATGAAACGAAAAAGTATAATTATGTCCATAAATTATATGGAGAAAAACCAGTCACTATTCTACCATCTTTGTTTCTTTGAAAGGCATGTTCGTTGTACATGGTATTTTTAATGAATGAAAACAATTGAAGTCCCATGTATGTATGTATGACTCAGAACTGAGGTTTTGCTTCATATAGTAATAGATGTTATTTGCTTTAACCACCAACCTGAAGCCGTGGTTTTTCATATCTGTGCAGATTGTTAGTGCATCACAGGCTGGCGACATTCAGTTTCTGGATATTAGAAAGCACGATGACACATACCTCACAATTGATGCCCATAGGGGCTCGCTGACAGCCTTGGCTGTCCATCGCCATGCCCCTATAATAGCCAGTGGCTCAGCAAAGCAACTCATCAAGGTCTTTAGCCTTGGGGGTGCACAACTTGGTACTATCCGCTACCACCCTACTTTCATGGCCCAGAAGATTGGACCTGTAAGCTGCCTCACATTCCATCCCTACCGAGTCTTGCTTGCTGCTGGTGCCATGGATGCTTATGTCTCAATATATGTGGACGAGAACTCCCAAACAAGATAGAACATCATCCATTGCATTCACCTGCCTACGTTCCCTTGTCATTGAGGTGATATAGGCACTTGTACATGCATCACAATCTTGCTACTGCAGCTTTATTGGGAACAACATTTGGTCCTTCCCTTCCACATCCGAGGACATTGAACGAACGGGTGCATGTGTGAAAATTGTATGTTATATATTCATTAGCCTCCGCAACATGGGTCACGCATATCTGGAAACAGTATCATTACCTTGGGGGGGCTTTGGTCAATAATTGATTATATATAGGTGAAGGATGTAAATATGCTTCATTTCCTTTAGTTTTTTTTCCTGGTGTTCTTTTTTCTCCCATATCTTTGTTCAATTTGTAAAAGTGGGATACTTGATATTATTATCATTATTATAAATTAAACTGTTGCAGACTCTGGAAGTGGCGAGTTGGTCATTCACCCCGCAAAGATGCCGGGCTTCAAACCCCCCACTTCCCTGAGCTTGTAGTCTTCAATGAATCAATTTGCACCACTTGAGATTTATTAACAAATATTGTCAATGAATGAAACGATAGGATGAAATTTGAAATGCAAATGTCTGTACATGCACTCGTCCCAAACTGAGCCTTGGTGTGAGTTTTGTTGTCGATAAAAACCCGGGGATATTTTTTTTGTAACTTTTGTTTACTAAAACATTTTTAGGTGTTTGTTCAGAACTCGGATCGTATAAGGAACACAAAGGGGCTCGGATCTTCCACCCACAAGCTATTTCCACTTCTTTACTGACCGGGACATGCTATTGAGAATATTTCCCTTGTCATTCATGGAAATAGTATGTTCTGTAGGTAGAGATGTGGGTATTAGATCCAGAATGACAGTGAGAATCTAATTATTGGACCTGAGGAATGAGGTCAATTATGTACAAGTTGTCGACAAATCAGTTGGAGAGTCTATAAATGTTTATAATATGATACATACTTTGCATGGATGTACTGATACTTTGTTCTGAGACGAACTAAGAATGTTCTTTTGACTATCAAATATATTGAGTTCAAGGTATCGAAAATGTAATTCTAAGAGACAACGGGATGTGCTTTGGACATACATATAAATATTGTCAAAAAATTAGGACATGGAGGCTTTAGGAAATTTTAATATTTTTTTTTTTTTGAGAAAAAGTAAGGTAATTGTATTAATGCGTATAACTGCAACATATTACAGCCTTTGGCCACAAAACTCCATGAACAGCCAGCAACTATACAAAAATTCTAATAAATTACATTAAAGAAATCTTTTTTTTAATAAATGTGTTGTCTTGTATTATATTGATGCTAGCTCAATTGAAACTATTAATTAATAATTATAGAAATAAAAATTCATTTAAAAATTATATCAAATCCCATTATAGTGTACATATCATATTATATTATATACAATTCATAAATTTTATTTGCCAAACCAATTATTTGTTTTTGTTTTTTTTTTAAATTACCAAAAATTATGAATAATTTTTTGACATAAACTGTTGACGGTTCTTAGGGTTTGGTAGATCATTCATATATCCAGCTTATTGTTCTTTCCAACCATCGAAACCATTTAAGACAAGTTTTTTAATGATTTTTGGATATCTCTAATTTTTGAGATAAACTGTGGTTCTATCAATATAAGCAAAAGCATAGCAGAATAAATCAGTAAATCTCTGCATTTCAAACATCAATATATATATATCAAAGTTTTTTCAGCTAATTCTATGATTCTATCTACTTTTTGTAAAGGTCGAAAAGGCATTTATCAGTCAGCTAGGCCCATTTTTCTACTTATGAGCCTTTGATTTAATGAGAATATTATGCTTAAGTCAACTTTATTGATGAACATAAACTAATTAATTTTATATAAGCATATGTAATACATAATTAATATTATAAATAGATTAATTTGATATTTTGAGATCCAAATCTCATTTATCAATGGATCCGATAATTGGGTATCATTGATAGCTATAGCCGTTGTTTCTTTTTTTTGAAAATCGACCATAGGCAAGATTCATTGCTGCATATCCTCCACCAGTACAGGAATAATGAAAGATGGGACAAGAGTGTGAGAGACCAGGTATGGGTTCTCGTAACATTACAGCATTATGGTCCAACAGGAGCGAGATCACACAGTGAGCATCTCCTTCTAGGCAGAAAGCAGAGAAAGATGAAAGATCCAATGCAGAAGCAAGCAACAGCCCCTAGCTTCAACAACCACCTCCGAGCTGTTCAGAAAAAAACGAAATTCCCCTTGGAGTGTCTAACCACGATACCCTCGCCTGAGTTAATAGGAGAAGAACCGCCATCTACGTTTATTTTAACTGCATCCTGAGGCGGGGGGTTCCGGCGACCCACCGGGCTAGTGGGACTGTGAAGTACCCAGAGAGAGAGAGAGGCGACCCAAACCGCACATTCAGCATCTCAGGGTAGTTGAAAAAACAGTGCTCTAAATCTATTCTTTGAGAGTAAAGCTAGCAGAGGGATAGCACTGGAGAGGCACTGCAAATGAAATAAAGAATATGCAGTGGCAACAGGCCTGATTTTCCAGAATAGCTTCCAGCTCACCCAAGAAAGGCTTCAACTGCATGAGAGCTACTTGTCCCATGATGAACTAGAGTTCTGTGTAGGCTGACGCACAAGAGAAAGTACCTGATCGTGTGGGGGGTGCAGACTAAGCGATCCCGGGCGCAAATAATCTGGGACTGATTATCTAGAGGCCACAGTGCGAGAATCAAAAAGGCGGGTTTTCCTTGTTGGATGCTACTGTGTAGTTAGATCCACTCCTTGCTGTAACTGGCCCTCAGGACAGGGTGAGGCAGCTGCCAATAAGGGTCATGAAGGATTCTGATCACCATTTGTAGCTTGGTTCTGGTTGCGCTCCCTCAATTGATCTGATTGTCGTTTCAGCATCGAACAGTTGAGACACTGGCATGCATGCACCTAAGTGCCATCACCCAAACTTGTTTATTTATCTACAGTACAGACTCTACAGAGTACGTACCTCAACCCTTTAGCTGAACAAATGTCAAATTTTCAGACCATTCTGTGTGGGTCAAACAATTCGTCTGGGTTACTGATGGCCAATAGAAATTCCAACTGCCTTTGAACGGAAGCATCTTGAACCAAGTTTAAAACGATGCATAAAGGGCTTCTGATTACCAGAGAGAGAGAGAGTCCGTGTCGGGTTGGATGCTTGTAAAACAAGAAAAAGTGAAGAAATTGTCAAAGTATGAAACCACATGAGATATGTTCTTAATTAGGGGTAATGAAAACATCAAAACATCGTTACATCTTTGGTTTTGATTATGCATGCGATTACTACTACTCATTCCACCAAGAGGCGTATTCTCGAGTATAACGCAATAATGGGTGCCATCAACGTAAATGCCTCTAAAGTCGCTCAAGTGAAAACATGATATATCATCCCACAAAGTCGCTCACTCTCCACCTTAGCAAATCAATCAATGGTATGATATTCCCGATTGGGTGTTCCTAAATATCCTTCTTTTGTGACGCTATCTGTTGTACTAGTCTACTAGATAACCGATCGGTTCGGTATTAATACACGCTTATGACTTAACTAACGATTTTATACATGAAAATCAGATTGTTTTCTCGCATTCTACCATCTTTTAAGTTTTAAGTAAGAGAGAATTAAATAATAAAAAAAAATAAAAAATAAAAGGAGAAGAATTGAAAGACTTTGTTACAGCGTATTGACTGACTATATTTTTATGTCAAAAAGCGTGGATTCAAAAGGCTCTCCTTCCACGAAATATATAGGATGATGAACAAAGAACAATGTCTGTCTTCACGAGAAATGGAAGCTATAAAATGGCTTTAAGTGGCTCAATCGTAAACAAGAACAATATTGGAAATTAGTAACTGTCTGTAAGTTAGAGATCGTCAGTTTCATTTCATATCTAGAGATCGACTTTTGTTACGTTGGTTGATGGCAACTCATCATCAGTGGGCATATGGGATTCCTGCTCCTCCTCCTCTTAGTGTAGTAGGGGAGGGATTCTGTGTTCCTTACCCCGTAGACTTGATAGTTAAGAAGAAGATCGTTGGATTGTCTGATGCCCGCTTCGAGGTGATGGATGCTAATGGAAACCTCCTTCTCCAAGTCGACGGTAGCCTTTGGAGCCTCCAGAAGAAAAGGGTCATGCGTGATTCTGCTGGTTTTCCTATCCTTACTATGCGTGAGAAGGTCTGTACGTAATTTAATTACTTATTATATCTTGCCTTGTGCATGTGATAAATTAACTTAATTATTGGGTCCTATTCGACGTCGTTACTCGATCGTTAGGTTCTTACTGCAAGGCACCGATGGACGGTTCATCGAGGGGATAGCTCCGATGGGAGCAATCTTCTCTTCAGTGTACAGAGATCTCATCCTCTCCAAATCAAGACCCAACTGGATGTATTCTTGGCAAATAATTTTCATGAAGATATTTGCAATTTCAATGTGACTGGGAGCTACTCCGACCAGTCCTGCAGAGTTTATAAAGGCGATACCTTGATTGCCGAGGTAAATAACACTTCTCTTCCTTTGATCCCTCTCCTTTTTTATTTTAATTTATTGCATGAATATTGAAAGATCCAAAGTTAATTAGATCGAATTGAAGAAAACTAAACCAAGCCCCCATAGATGGGTATGAGGGCCTAATTTGCCACCTGTCCCATGTATTGATTATTTGACTACGTACTATTGAATTAATTGGATCGATGATGAATCGGATGGATTCCGATCATGCTGATCTTTGTGCGGCCCTCTAGGACCTTATCATAGTTTAAGACATAAAGTGATTTGCAGAGAGACATTTGTCTGTTTTTTTTTTTTTTTTTTGTTAAACAAAAGCTGACCTCTGAATCATAGCTTAAACATATGGTGATGCAGGCTAATCACAAATTCACATGGGGCAGATTTTGCAAAGGAAAGGACAATTTCACCGTGAAGGTTAACCCTGGTGTGGATTATGCTTTTATTGTGACACTGATTGTAATCCTTAATGAGAATGATATTGTATAAATATGACTAGCTTCCACAACCAGAAAATATATGTCATATCATGTTTGGTTCCTGTTTTTTTATTAATGTAATCATCATTATCATCATCATCATCTATCTTAGTGATGAGTGAATCGCCTTGTTTTCATTCTGCTACTCAATAGTTGATTTGAAATTAAGAAATAAAAAAATACAACTCCTTCCTAATTTAAAATTTCAAACATATACAATGTTGCTTCTTATACGCTACATATCTTTGACGTCGGAGAGACTCTAGATTATCATTCAGTCATATCATGACAAAGAGAGGAGAAAAAAATAAGAATGGTAAATTAAGGAAACGGGTCATTTATTAGCAGATTTCTTATAGTTTGATGGATTTACTAAAACCTACCCTATAGTTTGCATTTTAATAAAACACCCTTTATAGTTTACAAACTGATTTACTTAATTGACCTTCCATTAGGTTGAAGTGGAAAATGACAATTTTGACCTTAGAATCTGTTTGGACCTATATATTCTACAAAAAAACAAAAATGATAATGTCACTCTTGCCCCTAGTAAAACATGAGCAACAATTCTTTTCGGTCAATTTTATTCTCTATTTGAAGAAGGAAGACATGCTGTTGCAAATTAATTAATTAATAACCTGGTATGCAATGTTCTCCCTTCTTAATTTTATAGAAATCATTGCGTGGTAGATCCGAAAATCAAATAATAGTTTATTTTAAAAGCTCAATAAGATGTATTAGGAGTAATTTCGGAATAAAATAGCATAGGCCCATGCCCTTGAACGGTGACCACTTAGTATAGGTGATCAAGATATCATTTTCAGACAACAATATAAAAGATTCTTGATAGAAGGTGATTAAGTAAATTGGTTGCAAATTATAAAGAGAGTTTTAGTAAAACATGAACTAATAGTCATTTTGTGCAAGGGCTGGTACTATGGTGGAAAGCATATAGAGCATCAAATTGCATGTAATAATAATAATATAGACTATGTTTTGTTGCACTTGCACATGTAGTTAGTACTAATGCTGAGTTGATAAGTACTTGAGATCTAAACGGTTGAGAAAGGTATGAGGGTCGCAAGATATCAACCTTTCGACATAGAAATTAAAACTAGCCAATTTCATTTTCCTACAATGAGTATCCAGTTTTTTTTTTTTTTTTTTGAAAAAAAAAATGTTGATGTTGTGTAGGCATTCATTAAATCAATCCCATGTGTGGATACTTGTACTTGGTGCATGTGTGTATTACTATTTGATGCGTGTTTGATTGTTTTTATATTACTTTTGATTATTTTTTGGGCAATATTCAAGTAATAAAGAGCATAAGTTGGAGTGAAGGATTATATGCTCTGAATGGATCAATTAATGTTTTATTTTGATGATTGATGGAATGGTTAAAGGATTTTGGATGAATATGGATGTTAAGTCAATAGAAAAAAATGTTACAATAATGTTTGTGTGATAATGGGGCCCACATATATGTTTTCTTATTCGTGTATTGGTGGGACCTTCATGTCTATTTCCTGCAAGTTTGTGTATTTATAGCGTCCATGCATTCCATTCTCTAAAAAGAATAATTTTCTTCAACTTTGTGTATTTACCAGTTCATATCAGATTTGAATCAGGGTATATCGAAATTTGATTTAATACTATTAATTGTATATCTGATCTGATACAAAGATTTGATTGGATCTAATAAACATGGATTTGAATTTGAATCCGATGAGGCGATCAGATCTTCAGATCTGATTTGATTTTTTTAAATTAAATAAATTATTAAAAGAAAAATAAAATATAACAATTTAATTAAAAAATACAAGTACCTTTTCAACTATTTTGATTATATATATATATATATATGTGTGTGTGTGTGTGTATTTGTATATGTTATATTTATATAAATAAATAAATAACATATATATCGAATCAAATAGAAGATGATCAGAATTCAATCCAATTTTCGATTGAATCTTATTATCTGTTTTGATCCAATCCGAAAAAAGGCTATCCAAATCCGAAAATATAGGATCGAACTTTGTATCCGATCCATTTCACCCCTAAACTTACCATGCAAATGGTACCTTAAATACCACAATCCATTATCAATGTAGGGCCGTAGGGATGTGGACGTTTTGTGATGGCGAGGAAAGTCGGATTTAAATGTATGCAATTAAGGAACCCTTTTATCACCTATTTAGCTTAATGGGCACATTTTCATACATTAAAAGTCTCTCTATTTATAAAGAAACTTATTTATGGTTTAAATTGCTTTTTTTAGAAAGGAGCATCTATTAATTCAAAGGAGAATCCAATACAATAAGCTCATGAAGAAATGATGGTTCAGAAGACCATCTATAGACACTCGGAATGGAACAATCGACCTTCACAATTCGGTGAGCAACATTGTTAAATTGCATTTTGGTATGCGAGAAGTTATACACTGAAACGGAAGAGATTAAGGGATGTTTGGAACTGTGGCTGTTTTTCAAAAAAATGATGCCACATTAGATCGATATAGGCGTTTCAACAAACGCCCATGTATCTCATTGTTTGCTTCAGCCGATTATTAAAAAATCGGGACCCCACTTTCATGCATCGGTGAACCGTTTCTCTCAACAATTGATTGATGTGTATCCTATGTGGTGTTTACCTGTCAGCACATACATGAAAAACAGTGATGAAAATCACCTTATCAAACAGCATAGTGTTACTCACTATCTATTTGGCAGAAGTGTTTTTTTGTGAAAAATGGGTCCTGGAAGCATGGGTGTTTTTTCTTAAAAATCGGTCCCAAAAAACGCCCATTCTTCTAAACACCATGTAAGCTTCTTTAACCGCTAATAATTGTAACAACCCGCCAAAGTGGAGTTGAATTATCCACCAACATAAGCTTAATGAGACATAAACAATCATTCTCCACTGAAATTCTAGACAGTCCCAACTCTTTTGCAAATTGTAGTGCATAAAATAAGGCCATAGTTTCAGATTGTTCAGCAGAACACACTGGGAAGAAATTGCCTTTGAAATCTCTTATAATATAAGAGTTCAAATCAGCCCCCCACAACGTCTCACAGCACATCCCGCCATATATTGAACGCATCTCTTGATGATGACATCATTATTTATGTTATTATCATCGGGAGATTCTTTCAATACACGGCAGAGATGTGTTGTGGGGGACTAATTTGATCTTATAATATAATACTAACACCTGTAGTGTTAACCGCGTCATCAATGTTGATTTTAAGGGTAGGGGGAATCCGTAAATAAAACTGTTGCATGTCTCGCGACAACATTTGATCTTATAATATAATTCTAACACCTGTGAACCTTGTAAAGGATTAAGACTGTTGCATGTCTCCACGATGTGAGCAGTTGTAGATGAAATAACACCCCAAGGGCTGAAAGCATGACCTTCCATTACTTCCTTACAACGCCATTTCCAAGAATGCCACAAAACAATATAGCACATAAGCATAACTTTCCACCAACTCGTCAGCCAATCCTTACCTGCCCCAAAATTTATAGTTGGTTGGGTTTAAAATTTATATTTAATTATCTATTATTTTTTATTATATATAAGTAATAAATAAATAAAGTAATACAAATAAATTGCAAAATTTTCAATTATTTGATTAAGAGATGTAAAAAATTATATACATCATCAATTATCCTTCACATAAAATTCAAAYTTTATTGAATTCAACACTTAATATATAAAGTTTATATTCTTTTCTAAAAATATGTGGGTTGGATTTAGTCTAATACYGTACCCTATTTGTATTTGTACGAGTTGTAGAATCTCAAAACCCCTCCCTGCCCCAAAATCCATCCTTCAAGCAAAAAGAAAAAACAAACCACCCGGGTAGAAATTGCCATCCCTACTTGAATTCAACAATGTTATTATCCGGTGAAAAGTGGAAACTAAGGCTATATTTGGTTTGAAGGAAATGGTAGGGAAAGGAAGGGAAAGACAAGAAAACTTATATAAGGCTTTGTAAAGGTTTTCTTACCTTTCCCTTCCTTTTCCTTCAAACCAAACAGCCTAAAGATTTTAGAGGTAGGGATTAGGGATGTTCATTATACGGTGCACACAGTTAAACCAAACCAAATTAAATTGAATTTGGCAGTTTGGTTTGGTTTAACATAAAAGCGATTTGGTTTGGGATTTTTTTTTTTTAATTTATGAACGGTTTCAGTTCTGTTTCCTAAATTTTAGAAATCAAATCAAATTGTAAATTGAATATATATATATATATATATAATATTATATATAATATTAATAGATAATAACATATAAAATAAGCTCTCCAAACTAAACTATATTTGATGATTAATGGAATATACCCCTCGGTCTTAAAAATATACTATTCTAATCAAATTTGGTGTTTTCCTAATATAACAATTACAATGACAATAATTTTATGGTGACTATTAACTAAAATACTACATTTGTTATTTACGAATACATATCTGCCATTTTAAGTTTTWAAGTGGATTAAGCCTAATAGAATAGACAAATCTCAAACCATATTAAAAATCTCATCAAATCATAAATAAAACAATTTAATTTAATTTTCACATTCAAACGTTCTGTTTCGTCTAACCTCAGTAGTGCTTGATCCAAGATCTTCAAATCGCACGAAAGAGGAACACTCTTGGAGGGCATTGAATATTTTTGTCATGCTAATGATGCATACTCGTAGAAAAGAAAACTCAATGACACCACACCAGCATGGTAAAGTGTGAGACCCAATTCATAGAATAGAGTGAGTGAGGACAGTGAGGCAGTGTTGCTCAGATCCAGAGGCATGCATGATTATTATTCATAAAATCAGGGCTCTTTGTACTAAGTTCTAACTACTGCCCTTACCAACGTAACATGTCGACATGTAAGAAGAAGACTCCATTTGCGCCGTAGATTGGGATTCGTACGGCTCCTTCGATATTCTTGCCACGTTTCCGCAATGAGACCATAATGTCTTCATTCATCCCGCAATGACGCAATGAGCCCATTCCATTCCATTACCCTCCCCCTTCGTGA